AAAAAAAAAAAAAGCGCGCGGAGAAACTAAACTGGAATGGAAAAAAAAAAATACATATATCGTTCTTTATCCAATCCTAGCTGGCAGCCTTCCAGGTATGAAAAGTGCCCTCGGACAGTGAGTGCAGCTATCTACCCGGTTTTCAGCAGGTGTGACTGGAGCCCAGCGGTGCATCTGGATGTAGTTCATACTTCAAATGCCACTTTAATCTGAACTTTCATCTGCCACACTCCCTTTCAGATAGGATGCACGCTTGGCGGGGGGAAAAAGCCATTCCTTCCCTTGCTCTTGCCTCCCTCCCCCCCACCCCCGGCATCAAGTAAAAGTTTAACCACTTCAGGGCTTCAGGCTTTTCTTCCCCCAGCAGAGCTATTTCAAAGCCCTTTTGCCTCCAGTCCTTTCAGCAGGTCTTGCTGCAGTAAGTGGATGGATGGTCTTTCCAAGGGCTCATTCTTGGCACTAATTGAAAGGCCATTTCTTAGGCAACCTTTGCAATAGCACCAAAGCAAAGGGTGCAGCCCAACACCCCCCGTTTCACTGCTTACTGAAGCCTGTGCTTTAAACTGAATCAGGGCCATAGTAAGCAGTGAGCCTGGGTCCACTGAATGAGTTTAAAAATGTCACTACAGTATTAACATGCATTGCTGCACCCCCGAATTATTATATATTGTTTTTTTTACAATAACGCCCAAAGAGGCTTGGGACTCCATGCTGGTGGGTGGTATAAATACACATAGCAAGAGACAGCCTCTAACCAGAAGTTTACTGTCTCGATAGACAAGACAAAGGGACGGGTGACAAGGGGGTTATTCCATCACTGTCTAGGTTGGACGCAGAGATGCAGCGACTCGCTCTCAGTCCCAAAGGGAGGGAAATGCAGCCAGATCTTCCCCGTCCAAATCCAGTGCCCAACCACGAGATTCCCCACCTCAAAGAGCTCGCTTTCCAAACACATTTTGCTGCCTGACAACAATCACATTGTGCTTTATTTTTGCCAGGGCTTCTACAAAAAAAGAGGGTGGAGGGAGATCATTTGGGACTAACCGGCAAGATTTACTCTCAGCCACATGAAAGCAACAGCTCCTTCCCAACCCCAGAAAAGGATGAAACCAGCTGGGTGATCTAGAGGCCTGCTTGTTTGTTTTGCAATAATCAACTAATTGCTTGCTTGCTTAGGCAGCGGAATAGGGCAGTGATCTTAGGCTGTGTGTTTGCAAACTGTGCGGGGCTGCTACAATGGGAGAAACCCAATCCTGACTTTACAGCGGGGCTCTCCCCTCCGAAACCGAAGGGGCAAAGGGCTCACAAAAAAAACATGCTCTCTGTCAAGCATCCCCTGCACTTGAAGATTGGCAGCGTTATCTTAACCTAGGGCTTCACAAATCTGTGTCCTTTCCCCCAGCATGGAAGAAGCGGGTAGTAAAAGCTGGATGACATGGCTAGAGTTTGGGACCAGCTCTTCCTTCAGTGTAAACCAAGGACCCAAAGAAGGTGCCTTTTGGAAAGGAAGTGTGTACACATCGTTAAACCGATCCCTTGAATTGGCGGGAGCTTGGGTAGCCGAAGGAATGCAGGACCGGTCTTCTAAAGCCATTGCGACGCGGCCAAAGTCATCAGCGCAGCGCTTGAAACTATAGGCCGCTGTCGCGCGGCAGCAAGAATGTGTCAGTGCAAACAGAGGAAGAGAAAGAGCAATACTTACAGCCATTTTATTCCATGGCAAATCCCCAGCTGCAAAATGAGAGACAGAAAAGCTGCTAGCAAAACACGTCGGCTCGGCTTCATCTTTCCAGAGTCACCTCGTCCAGGAGGAAATCAACTCTTAAAAAAAAAAAATCTTCCCAATCTTTCCCCAAAGCGGGTTTCCTTGCGTTTCAGACGGTGCTCCTTTTCTGGGGGCACAAGAGCCTAAAGTCAGGGAGAAAGTACAAGGTAACGTTCGCGCCCAAGCCGCGCGAATCCTCCCGAAAGAGCAATCCGCTGTCCGGATTGCCCAAGGAGCGGTTTATGAATCATAAAAGAAGTTCAGACCCCCCCTCCCCAACTCTTGATACAACCTTTATAGTCAACAGACAGACAAACCGTATGGCTTGAATTAGGGTTTGAGTTATGGTCTGATTGTGTGTTTCCATTTAACCCTGCATATGGCAGGACTTCATTCCCTGTTACAATTCTACCCCGCATCCCTTTCTTCCCCCCTGCCCCGCAAGTTTGGTATATCTGCTCGGGAAGAGGGGGGGGGGGGGAAAAAAAAAAAAAAAAAAAAAAGGCAAATCTTAGATCCTTCTTCGGTTCTGTAGAGGCCAAAATCTTCCACTAACCCTCTTCCTTTTTGTTTAAAGATTAGAAAAAACCCACCCCGCTTCCAGAGAAGACGAATGACACGCACATGTACGGACTAATGGAGGTGCCCTTGCCCTGCAGATGCGGCTGCCTGGCTCATCTGTTGCAACAAGTGAGTTTTGTTCCTTCCCTTCTGCTTTCGTTCTCACCCCATTAACTTTGCTGACTCC